TGATTCTAAAACTCTTGATGTCTCTCATAAGTTTCGTAGTCTAGGTTTTATCTTTGATTCTACTATGTCTCTCTCTTCTCAGATTAATAGTGTTGCTAGAAGCTCTTACTTTCATCTACGTAGAATAAAAAAACTTTTGCCTTTTCTTGATGATCCTACTCTTCTCCTTCTTGTTACTTCGTTAGTCTTATCTAGGATTGATTATTGTAACTCGCTTTACTATGGTCTTCCTGACTCTATACTCTATCCTTTAAGTAAAGCTTTTAACTCTGCTGCTCGTCTAGTTGCTCGTGCTCCTTTCTTTTCTCATATATCTCCATATCTTGTTCTCTTGCACTGGCTGCCTATAAAATATAGAATAATTTTTAAAATTTGCACGTTCATGTATAAGTCTCAATCTAAATTATTTCCAAAGTACTTATCAGATATATTAATTGAACCTAAACGCCCCGGTTTACGATCGTCTTCTTCTTCTCGCTTTTTCTTAACTCGTGTTAAACACTCTTTTGCCAAATCTGCTTTTGCTTTTTCTGGTCCTTTTCTCTGGAACTCTCTACCTACTTCTCTAACTATTTCTCCATCACTTGCGAAGTTCAGAGCGGATCTCAAGACCCATCTGTTTTCAAAATTCATTGAGGAGCGCTGTTGAACATCGCGGAAATAGCGCTTTATAAGCTAATTGATTGATTGATTGATTGATTGAACATTAAAATTATGAATAGCAAGATTAATATAATTTTGGCTGTCGTCCTTTCTTTAGACTAGGATGATGAACAATTTATTTCATTGATAAGATATAATCTCTAATTTCCATCTATTTTTAGAAAAAAACTCACAGATTTCGTAATTGTTAAGTGACTTTCTATTTTTTTAACGCTTAATAGTTGTTTTGACTGTAGTTCTGTAAGTTATTTATCAATCATAGTAATCACAAACGTTCTAATATTTTGTGGCTCAGGGCTTGCCTATTGGCAGATTATGACTGTATAGTCCATAAAATAATTTTTTCCAACGCCTACTTCATCCATCATGTGATTTTATCAATTACCCCAACCATTGGATCAGTGGATTTTTTGAATTTAATTTAAGTACTGGTCTTAATACTAATTTGGCATGTTGTAATTTTTACAAAAATTCTGGCACAAACAATATGATGGTCAGAGCCACACTCTACATTTCGAAGTAACGATCAAATTTTGGAGCTTATATGGATGCAGTCTAAAACTGCTGAGTAGTTGCCTGATGTTGTTTGCCAGGTCTGTTTGTGTTCATGTGAATGCTAAGATAGTGTTTTTCCGATAACCAAATTGTTAGCAGTGGCAAATTAAAGCAAGCAAATCTTATTCTTGCCGGTAATACTTCATCGATGATCTTATGTTGCTAAATTCATTTGCGATAATCACTCATTGGCAGTTGTAACCAATTCAAACCATCTCTGCGGCTATTTTGTTTAGAGTGATAATTTTAGTCGCAAAACCAAATTTAATGCCGATATTTCTGGGGAAACTGATGTAAGAATTTAATGGTTCCGGAGCGTCAGCGATAACTTTAGTCGCTTTTTGTATTTTAGGTGAAACTCTACAGTAAATAATCAACCAGCCAAAATTGAGTTTTCCCCAGAAATATCGTTATTAAATTTATTTCTCTATCATTTAATTTATTGCTACTTTTACGTAGTTTGCCATTACCACCCTCTACCATTTTTTCAACCGTGCCTTAGACTGTTTTTGGTGGAGTGATAATTTTTGTCTGAGTTTTCTTTTATAGCTTTTTCTATGAATGGATATAGTTCAGAGGCAGCAAAGGTTTAAAATCAAAGGTTTTCTTTTTCTTCCTAAATGAACAACCAGTCAAAATTGAGAAGTTTCATCTACCCAAAACAAATGGTTAAAGTGCCTGGTTTGTTTGCACCAATTTTCCTGTCTGTTTAAACAGATCTGCCACTTGGTTCCATTTTTGCTTTATGTTTCGAATATTATTAGAAGCCTTCAATAGTTTATCCCCATCACCACTTTGTAAGTGCGATGAAGGGAATAGGTATGTGTACTAAAAATTAAAAAACATAACTTGTTTGTAAAAACTATATCGTTTGTTAAAAATTTTCCCATTCTAGTAAATTCTGTCGCGTCTCTGAAACAAATTCATTGCAGACTGTAAACCTAAAACAGTACACAAGTAAATAAAAAAACATACACCACCTTTTACTTACTTTGGTTCAAACAGGATCTGTAGAAAACTTTGATATTTGCAATACACGGTAGGTCTTTTCACTTGGTTTCATCAAAAGACCTTAGGAAATAATTTTTGTCATATTACAATTTTTCTATTTTGCTTCAAAAAATTAAAAGTTGATTAATTGTTAATGAATAATAAAGGTGAACTGGAATAAAGGTTAAAGGTTAAAGGTTACTCTCTCTCTTTTGCATTAGCTTCAGAGGTTTCAACGACAAACACACACAGCGTATATGAATACGTGTGCAAACCACGCATCATACACATTGCATATAGCTTTTTTTATTATTCCTGATCACAGAGTCTCATTTCCACACATCTTTTTAATCGACAATGTTAAATTTGAAAAATACTTATTGGAAATAATAAAATATTTGTTGGGACAGCTGTAATAGTAGGAGTGTTAATGATAATAGAAATAAAGTAGTTATACTAGAGATTGCTTAAAAATACTTTTGGCTTGTTACTATTTATAAAAGCAAACAAAAAAAACAATCCACTAAAAAAACGTTGAAAGGTAGCTAGTAAATTTTTTAGATTCATTAGTTAGAGGTAAGTTTTCTTATTCTTCTCTAGAACTTGTTTTTTAATTTTTTGCTTTTCTGTATTTTTACCAACGCCAAAAATTCACGTTTCTTTAAATATAATCATTTCTCAAAAAAATTTTTGTTCGCATTAATTTTTTCTTCTTGTACTAATAACCATACACAATTTATATTTTAATAATTAATATTTTTTATTTTCATCAAAACTCAACACTCTCACACCCACCTCCGAACGAACTAAGTTACATCAAAAAGCCTTATTGTAAATACTTTGAAGTTGAATCCTGCTTTTGTTATTCAAAACTCTGAATGGATTCATTTCGAACTCGTCATCGGGAATTGAAGTTCTTTCGATCCAAGACCCACAAGCAAACTTGTAAGTCATCACATGGGTTGGCGCTCGTGTCAATGCTCGAATTTATTTCTACAGCTAGTAACGAAATTGTTAAATATCTAATTGTAATAAATTTTTTATCAGTAAAAAATATATTATTTTATTTAAAACTGCTATAATATTTTGCATTCTAAATTTCATTTATAAACCCTGTCTTTATATTTTAATTTTTTCAATTTCTTCAGTCATGTTTTCAAAAAAACATTGCAAATTGGAAACAAAAAAACAACATTCAGCATGGCTTTGCGGTAAATTTTTTCTGGTTCAGCGGATTTGTGCTTGTTTAGTTCCATAATATGCTATGATATTTGTTAAACCTGGATGTTTGAATCGTTTGGTTTAACTTGGAAGACAACATTTTTCTAAAATGTGCATCAACATAGAAATGAAAAACAACCGTTCAATATTGTTTGATCACCCTCATTATTCTCTACCAAGATTAAATCCATTATTTGTGAATAAATATTGTGAAATTACTTTTTGGCATAGCACTTTAAAAAATTGAAAGTCTCTTGTCGCGCAAAACTGAAAATTGAAGTATTTACAAATGATTCAAAACCATTTCGAAGCTTTTAGGATTATTTTAGGATTTTAATGATGTAATTTTTCATTGTAAAAAAGGCGTATCACATGCAAAAGAAGCTTATAAGTTGTTGAGTTACAACTTTTATGATTTTGATGAATTGTTTTACAGTTACATAAATAACATCCTTTCCTCGATAAGTTAATAAGACTCCTGTGTTGAAGAATGTGGTGTCCTTGCATTCAAACCTGAGTTATCTAACCGCTGGATGCAACGAGACAAATTGTGCCGAATGTTTGAATCATAAGCGCTAGGTTTATCGGACTAAATTGTAAATTGTATGCTCACTACGAAACAAGACAGAAAACAGTATCGTGTATGTATACCTACATTTGAGAATTTTCAAACAATTAGTTTTGTGTGATAATATAATTTTTTCATAAAAGGTCAATGGTAGTTTATATTCAAATTCAATTTTCCATTTATCAACAAATTTTATTTATTATTCTGCATAAATTAAATCAATTAGGCAATTTGATTTAAAATATACGTTAATTAATTTACAAACCTAATTTTCTACAATCAGGGGTGTTACATGTACGGTGTCCAGCTATTAAATGTTGAATATATAATTAATTTATATTTATAAAAAAATTTTAAAATTGAATATTCTGTTCTTTTAAGAAGAGCAAATGTTTATTTTAGAAAAAGAGTAAAATTTTATATATATTTCTAAAATCATACCTACAATTTCATACTAATAAATTACAAGTTCTATCACATGATTATACTCCATTAAGGGTGGCTTAGACGAGGCCAGGATTTTGTTTCGGGAGGGGTTAGAAATTTTTAGAAATATAATAAAATGAAAAAAGTGAAAATACTTTTTAAATACAAATGCAAATATATATGAAAAACCATAATTATTTGTTATAATAATAAAATGGGTAAATAAACAGCATACAAATTAATTTATAGCAAAATTTTTTTCTTTTTGTTACACTTTCTTATACTTTAATCAAATAACTAAATTTTATCATAATTTTTTCAAAATTTACGTAACTAAAATTCATTTTGCGGAGCCACATATTTTGTGTCTCACCTAAACTTATTTATGATTTTGTACGTTTTGCGACATTTTGTCGCGCGTACTTGTATATTGGTTAAATAATTTAGGATATCGTTGTTCCTGATATGTCGCTGGTTGGGAAGCCAAAATTGAAAGTTTCAAAGCAATCCGACACCAAATAAGTAACGTGCATGATGTTTTAATTACTATATATGAAACTGATGCCAAAACACCTGATATTGCACTTACACTAACAGAACAATTAAAAAATTATAGTTTTCTAATCTCTTTAATTGCATGTTGCAGTGTACCGTTTCAAATAAACGTTGTTAGTAAAGCGATGCAGGCCACGGACATGGATCTGGCACAGTGCACTGAAATGCTTAAAAAATGTATTAAGTGTTTAGAAAGTTACAGAATGTTTGGATTTAAACAAGCAATTGTTGATGCTAAAGAATTAGCTGATGG